AAAGGAAAAGAGCAAAACAGGAAGGCTCACACTCCTCAGTCTCAACACCTACTAAACAACCACCCCAGTCAAGGCACTCTGCTAGTTTTACAGCAGACACCTAGACCAGTGGAACACAACTGAGAGCCCAGAAGGAAACCCTCCCAGGTCTGGCCGGCTGATCTGGGACAAAGAACCAAACCTCACTAAGCAGGGAATACAATCTCCTTAACAGATGAGACTGGCAAACGTGGGTGTCCATCTGCAGAAAACGGAAACAAGATCCACGTCACGTACCATATTCAAAAACTAACTCGAGGTGGATTAAAGTCGTAAATGCAAAACTTAAAACGATAAAGATCATCAAAGGAAAAATGAAGGAATACTAGAGCTGTCGTCCAGGTCCTGCAAACACTATTAAACTTTATTTAAAAACGCGCAGACGGCAGAAGGCAAACTAGATGGCTGGGGCCTGATAAAAATGAAACGTGTATGTACATCCAAAGAATAAAAAGGGGGGGACGCTTTTGACAAAGGCATTTCAGACACTAGACTAGTCTCTAAAATTAATAGAAAACTTCAACATCTCCAAAAAAAAAAAAAGACTAGCAATCCAGACATGAGCAGACACTTCACTAAGGAAAACAATCAGTCGGCCAACAAACACACAAAGAAATACCCACAGTCATTAACCATTAGAGAGAGACAAGTCAAAACAGCAGTGAGATAGCATCTCACCTCAGCATTAATAGCAAAGTTCAAAAAAAGAGAAAATCCCTGTGAAGATGTGGAAAGACCCGAACCCCTCTACTCTGCTCATAGGACTAGTAAATGGCATATCCACTGTGGGAAACGGTGTGGCGCTTCTTTGGAAAACTGCAACTAGAGATACCATATGATCCAACAGTGCTACCACTCGAGCTATATCCTAGAGAAATAAGGGCTATGACATAAATAGATAAATACAGGCCCATGTTCATCCCAGCACCATTCACCAAAGCCAGAAGCAGCCGAAGTGCCCACCAGGGGATGGATAGAGAAACAAACTATGGCATATCTGCACACAGTGGGATAATACACAATGTTCAAGAGCCGTGATGAATCTGAGAAACTTCTCAGCATGGATAAGCCCAGCGGACTTCATGCTGAGTGAGATAAGCCAATCACAAGAGGGCAAGGAGTGTATGAGAGCACTGCTATATAAAATGAAGAGAGGTTTACATGCAGAAAGAAGCATTCTTGGAAGGTTTTCTGGTGTGGAAAGGCAGGGGAAGGTAAATCACTAACTAGAGGGTAGATATATATTAACTTAGGTGAAGGGAAAGGCAATTTACAACAGGGGGGAGATCAGCACAAAATAATGAAGTCAAAGAAAGACCCTGAGAGGAACGCATGAGTTCAAGGTAACAAGAGTAAATACCATTTATTACATCCTGTAAAAATAATAACGAGCTACTAGTAGATACATAGCTACAGAGAGGGTGTGGGAAGACAAATTGGATGACTCCCACAAATACTAGGTAGAAATAGGCATGACAGCAGCTATTTCTACATGTAAGGAGCACTAAGGGGTCGTAGGGGCTTATGGGTTGGGCTAATAACCACAAGGTTGGAGGTTCAAAGCCACCTGCCCAGTGTGAGAAAGGTAAGGCTCTCTGCTCCGGTAAAGATTTGTAGTCTCCGAAACTCCAAGGTTCTACTCTTCCATAGGGTTGCTATGAGTCAGAATCGACTCAATGACATTGGTTATTTGTATGTATGTATTTATATGTGATGCCAATATAGTCATGACTATAGCAGAGCATGCAGGGAGCAAACAATGATAAGGAAGCATCAATGATAATCAAACACCCTGAGAGAATGTATCCCTGGGCCTGGGAGCTCAGAATCATCTTCCCAGTGGACATCACAGTCAATTGACACACAGACAAAGTTCCACTTCAGCTTCGATGGGCAGCAGCTGGAGCCTTAGAAGCTTACAAGGGACCATCTACAATGTAACTGTTGGTCTCTTTCCATCTGAAGTAAAAAGGAGTGAACAAAATAAAAAACCCACTGAAACACTTAGTCCAAAGGACTAACGGACTACACTAACCACAAGCTCTAGACCAGAAGAACTAGATGGTGACTGACGACCACTGCCAACCATTCTAATCGGAATTACAGTGGAAGGTCTTGAAACAGTGAGAGAAAATGTAGAACAAAACTCACAATAATAAAAAAGAACAGGCTTCCTCGTCTGATAGAAACTAGGGGAACGTCTGGGACTGTAGCTCTTGGATGGTCTGAAGCCTTGAATTGCACTCACACACATAGCTCAACTTCCAGCCGAACAATAGCCCTCTAAGGCAGCCAATAAGACCAAACTCAAACTCAAGTCCATGCTAACCCATAGTGACCCTATAGCACCAGGGCAGAGCTGCCCCTGGGAATTTCCAAGACTGCTTACAGAAGTAGCAAGCCCCATTTTTCTCCAGAGGAGCGGCCAATGGTTTCAAACTGCTGACCTTGCGGTGAGCAGCCAAATGGCGAACACTACCCCACCAGGAGAGCTATGTACTCCTTAGAACAATCAACTGAACAGAGAGCAAGAGGGCAGCATGTATCCAGATGGCAGGCTAAAACCCAGATGGCAGGCAGGAGGAAGTAACGAAGAACGAAGGGGAATACTGAACACATTGAGGAAGTAAGAGGCATGTTGCTGGCTACCTTGTGGGGGCTAGGACCAAGGTCATGTATCAAAGAGTGTAGGCATCATCAAATGGAAGGCCAATTTGGTTCGGTAAACCCTCACCCAAGTCACAATAAAACATTTACATTAAAAAAAGAGAACTTGAATATATTTGGAGAAAAAAGGGAGGATCTTTGCATGATCTGAGTGAACCAAACCCATTTCAGGAGATAGAATTCAAATGACATAAGCTATTACGTAAAATCCAAACATCACGGATTTTTAAAAATTTTGCCCATTCGCAATGTTGACACAGAGAGATGTTTGGGGTGGGTCTGCCAAAATTGAAGTTCCAGAATTAACAAAATAATAGCTAACTGAAGCCGATGACAGGGGAGCAATAGAGAAAGCATGTAAGCACCTCACCTTGAGCGAATGCCAACGCTATCTTTCCTTTTGAACTCAGCATGAAATGTGAAACAAAATCAGAATCACTCCAACCGTTTGTTCAAAGGAGAGCACACATTTCTGAACCCCAAAGGTGGACCAGGGGGGAAACGATGCAAAATAGAATGTATTAGTCCTAGAAAATCTTTCTGAAAGAGCCTACATTCACCAAGACAAAGACATTTGATGATGTTAAGGATTGCCCAAAGATTTACTCTCACCCATCAGCTGACAGAGCATCCGAAGTGAATGTTTGAACCCCAGGCTCTCCTCAAATGGCCTTAATAAGCTGAGCCGCAATATCATGTGATTTAGGCATATTTTCATTAATCTCCTGATGCTTTTTCAAATGCCTATTGAAAAAAAGTCTGTATTTCCATTCTGCTTTGAAAATAGATGAGGACACCACAGAAACGTAAGAGAACTCTCTAAGTTTAGCCTTCAAATATATCAGTGAAAGCGCCCATATTCGGAACCTTGTTGGTACCTCAGCAGTCATCAAGTGAACTCTCCAAGTCTTAGGGAACCAATGCTGCCTGAGCCTGCACCAACCCTGTGATAGGATTCAGACTGGGCCATTGTGGTCCAGGAAGTGGTCATGGGCGGAGTTTTGGAAGCAGATCCCAGGCCCTTTTAGATCCCCTAGTCCATCTCAGTCTGGAAGCTCTGCTGAAATCTGTTGTGCAATGTTGCACCATGTGAGCTCCCACAGCAGACTAGGGGTGGCCCATCCTGGGGTGCACCTTGAGTTGGAATCAACGTGACAATCACAGGTTTTGTTTGGCTTGGGCTTTCTGGTCATTATCTGAGAGGAACACATCAGAGTGGAAACGATAACAGAGGGAAAAGTTGGGTCCTGATCCTCAATGAACGAGGTCACATTTCTTGGTAAATCAACTCACAGCCTAAGTTTCCTCATCTGTAAATTAACAGGAGGAGCAGGATAACTTCTGAGGTCTCTTCCAACAATTTAATTTGATTCCAACAAAAGGAGATTAAATTTGCCTCGGAGGACTGTACATCATTTATTGTTGTTGTTGTTGTTGTGCTTGCGAGGTGCCATTGAGGCAGTTACAATCCATAGTGACCCAAAGTACAACAGAGCAAAACATCGGCCAGTCCTGCATCATCCTCCCAGCTGTCCCCATGCTTGAGCCCATTGTTGCAGCCACTGTTCAATCCACCTCCTGGGAGGCCTACCACTTTTTAGCTACAAAGCATGATCCTTTTCCACGGACTAGTCCAAAGTACATGAGATGAAGTGTTGCCAGCTTTGTCTCTAAGGAGCATTCTGGCTGTACTTTTCCCAAGACAGGTGTGTTTGGTCTTTCGGAAGCCCATGGTACTTTCAGTATTCTTCACCAGCACCGTACTGCAAATTCAGTCATTCTTCCTTCAACTTCCTCATACATTGTTCCGCTTTCATATGCAGAGGAGGCAATTGAAAATCCCATGACTTAAGTTGGGTGCACCTAGTCCTCAGAGTAACCTCGTTGCTTTTCAACACTTTAAAGAGGTCCTGTGCAACACATTTATCCAATGCGATGTGCTGTTTGATCTATTGACTTCTGCTTCCATAAGCATTGATTGTGAGCCCAAGTAATCATGTACCAGCAGCATTTACAAATTGAAAAGGGAGGAACTACTAGAGCTTTAAAAACATTCTGATGTTGGGTTTGATTTCTAGATTTGATCATACACTGGGATACTTCTCCCCTCCCCTCTCCTTCCCTAGATGTGGCTTTTTGGTAAAAGTATATGTTAGGGGTTTATTAATATGTAATTAATATTTAATAATATGTAATTAATAAATAACTAGAGGAATATTAATTTGCTTAGGATTGTTCCCATATGAGTCTCAGACAAAGATCCTAGTGGCTGTGACTGTGTGTTCTCTCCGTAGAGTCCACTGTATTTATCCCTCGGGCTGAATACTTCATTGAAGAAGATATTGGAGAACTGTTCATCCCCATCAGGAGAAGTGGAGACGTGAGCCAGGAATTGATGGTGATCTGTTCCACGCAACAAGGTAGCTTGATTTGCAAACAAATGAAAACAACTTGGAAAGCATAAATAAGCTTCTTTAACATGTTGGGTCCAAAGCATTATACCATGAGGGGCATCCTTTATCAAGAGAAAGCATTGGTTCAGAGGTCTTCCATCCATACTGCACGTTGGAGACTGCACTATGGTGGCCTGGAGAGACTCTCTACTACTTCTTTTCACCAAACATTTCTGACTTCGATTGGTGACTTATTATAACACTCCAGGCTTTGGGAGAAATTGAAGATAAAGATCCCCAACTCAAGCCTGCTCAAAGAAAAAGGGACTCTTTTGTTTTGCTTTAAAATGTAGGCAAAGCAATGCACACCCAAGGGAAATAAAATGAATGTCTCACTCATCTAATGCCGATATGAAACTTGTTAAAACAAATGCCATGATACCTGTCTTGCTCATGGGTAAGCATTCTCGGTGAAAGCTAATTCTATAGAACATAGCATTAAAATCAACGATGATACTCCTGAGTAGATAAAATACCTTTCTAGGAAACAACAGTGATTCTATAAGAATGTAAAAGCAACAATCATACACAATGCTGATATCTGAGCAGTCATTCATGTTCATGAAAATGGCCCTGCCAGTCCGGGTTCCCATGCTGCAGAGTGAGCCTGTGTGACGCCAGACTGAGAGGCGAAGATGCTGAGGGCAGAATGTGGGAAGCCACAATGGACACTGGTTTGACTAGGTTCCCAGTCTGCAGGTCCAGGTTGCACATTTATGAGGACCGAGAGAGTGGAAGTGGCCCTGTGGGGGACCCTCGCTGCATAACCGAAGGGAGTAACTGCTGTCAGAGCCCATGGCTGGGGGTGGGCCAGCCTGGGAAAGAGCAGATGGAGACCGTGGGACAAAGGAGTGTCCAAAGGCAGGCTCCCCACCCACCAGTCTGTCCTGAATAAACGTGTTTGAAATCCTGCTGTTAAACCTTAAAAAAAAAGAAAAGAAAAGAAAATGGCCCTGAAAATATTGGGGGCAGCCCAGAGTCATGTGTAAAGATGATGTTAGAATCCGAGAGGGCTCAGATCCCAGTGATGGCTTAGCCTCTGTGAACCTGTCACCCAGTGTGTAAAAGTCATTAGTGTGTAAAAGTCATTAGATCGGGAGGGGTCACGAGGCAATGTGTATAAAGTCTATGGCACTTTGCCTGCACAGAGAAAGCATTCTACTACCAACCCACTGCCCTCGAATCGATTCCCTCTCATGGTGACCTTGTAAGACAGAGTAGACCTGCTCCAAAGAGTTTCGAAGGCGTAATCTTCTCACAAGCCAACTGCCACAGCTTTGCTGTAGAGCAGCTGGTGGATTGAAACGATCCGCTTCACCACTGTGCCACCAGGGCC